ATTACCGGGTGTAACCGACGGTCCCGAGATTACCGGGTGTAACCGACGGTCCCGAGATTACCGGGTGTAACCGTCGCGAGATTGGCGGGACTACCACCCATAAGTAGAGGACCTCACTCCACGATCAGGTACGATGATTTCTGACCTCGAACAAAACTAAGAGTCCGATCTGTACTGACTTGATCGTCGGAGTGCTCACCTTTTTGTGCAGGTCCGCCCAAGTATTCAGATCGGTCCGGGGGCCGAGTTCGAGCTGTAATCGGAAATACACTGTTGTGCATATCCTTGCATAAACATAACATATATCGAAGATATACTCCTTGTAAGTAACTTCATATAAAACAATATAATTGAAATATTATTTCTAAGTGTATATGATGCATTTACCCAATATATACTTACTAGAAATGTAGTATATGCAGCATATACAGATTTATTATCTGCAAATCCATACAATAAAGGTCTAGATTCGACTAAAAACTAGAGTTTCTTTTTTTATGTATTCATTGCAACGTCTTTAGAGGCCGATTTGGGTTTTGGTACAAAAGATACCAATTGTAGCTGTAGTTAGTGGGTTTTCAATCTCCCTTACCTTATTGGTTTTAAAAATGTGTTATGTTGCTCCTAGGGTTTCATCATATCAGAAAATGGATGAGTTATTCGAAAACTAGAAATAGCGGTTAAAATAGTGAAATAAAGTCATCAAAATGATTGAGAACATAAACTGTCGACCATTGCGTGAAGGTTGTGAACTTTTAGTGAAAAATAGAAATAAAATACGCTGAGTAGTTCGGAGAATTTTGGTAATTAAAATCCAAAGTAACAAGAATAATGAAATTTAAAACTTTTTATATTTGTTGAATAATTTATTAAAATATATACATTTAATAGTAAATAAAATTATTACGTTAAATGGTAATTAATTCATTTAGAAAAAATATATTTTAAAAATGTATAATAAATGTCATAAAATAGTATTCATTGAGGATAATTTGGGACAAAAATTCTTAGGTCAAATCTCAAAATCTATATTTATAAATATTAACAAAAATGGACAATTTATCAAAAAAAAAACAAGGACATGTCAATGGGCCTTTAAGAAAACTACCAAATTGGCCCAATGGGCCGCTAATGCACTATAGGGAAGGTCTAAAACCCTAGAACATCAAAACTCTTAAAACCCTAATGTCCCAGAACCTTCTACGCCCACCCAGAACCCGACACCAATTTGTTCTTCCCCAAACTCGCACTGAAGTCAAAACCCTAATTCTTCGACCACAGACGTTGCGCTATCAATTGACGCAGACACCTATGGCGAAGCGCTTAATTCCATTACTCAATCGTGTCTTGATCGAGAAAATCGTGCCTCCTTCCAAAACCACCGCCGGCATTCTTCTCCCCGAGAGCTCCACCAAGGTATTCGCATTTACCACTTTCTCTCTCTCTCTAATTCCATTTCCATTTCTTTGCTTCGATTTCATTTGCGGTTGTGATTGATCGGTGTTTGCTTCGATCCGATAGTTGAACTCCGGCAAGGTGGTTGCGGTGGGTCCTGGTGCACGAGATAGAAGCGGGAATCTGGTTCCGGTCTCTGTGAAAGAAGGTGACACCGTTCTTTTGCCTGATTACGGAGGCACGCCGGTTAAGCTTGGGGAGAAAGAGTATGCTCCTAACAATTTTAGCTTCGTTTTCTTCTGTGTTACCAGATATAATTGTCTCTTATCTGATTTCATTTCTTATGCTTGTTTTATTTTCATCTTTGGTTCATTACTTTATTAATAGGTGTTGATATGAATGAGTGTTTGAGGTCACATTTTGCAATTCTAGATGGATTTAAACTATTGTTAACTACACATTTAAAACAAATTTTGAGAGATTAAAACCGGAACTAAAACAAAGTTAAGGAATTAAAATAAAATATGTGATAATTTAAAGACGAAAAAAGACAGATGGGGTAGTTTTAGGACTACAATAGGATTTAAATCTCATGTTTTTGTTTGGTTTTCTTTGGTGTGATTTCTCTGCAGATTCCATTTGTTTAGAGACGAAGACATTTTGGGAACTCTGCATGATTGATTGGTCTAATTCAACGGTGATCTGATCGTGCTTTTGCAAGAGCTCATTCTGGTTCTTTGAGTTGGTTGATGCTTCATGCTTTAGCTTCTTACTGCATATGCAAGAATGAAGAATGTCGTCAATTTATGGTTAGTTTCCATTTAGTTAAATCTTAATGGAACCAATTTTCAGTTTCTCTTTGCCACTTCTGTTGCCATTGTTAATCTTCATTCAGCATCTTTCTTGATATTGTGACAAGAAATGGAGAACTATAGCTTAGTGCTATTTTGTATGACTTTTGGGGAAAGCCAAATGACCTTGCACTACAGAAAATAAGACATGGTTAGATATGGAATGGTGTGATTAAAGCTGTGAGAGGATTTGCCCAAGTTATGTTCATTAAGATGGACAATGAGATAATGACCCTTTGACGCCATTTTATGGGCCAACCTCAAAATTCGAGTTTGAGAACTGTTGGGTGGGTCTTTATTCTACATAAACTACTTGCCTATAGAATACACTTCTCTTTAGCTCAACTAGTTGGAGACGTATATTTCCGACCAAAAGGTGGGGATGTATATTGAAAACTTAGAAAGTAATATGTGTGTGTGTTTATTTTTTAGTACAATACTATATGTATATCAGGAAGAACACAGAGTTGAGAAACTGATTTGTTATCAAATAATGGTAGGAAGATTGAGCCTGAAGTTAATCACTTGCTCATTGTTCATAAAACGCCCGAGATTAAAATTAGTTGGTGAAGTGGGCCATTGAGTCAAGTGTTAAATCTAATTATGATCATATCGACCACAAAATTGTGTGAAGCAGAAATGTTTGTATGACATGATGTGAGAATATGTTTGGCAAAGTTTGTGGTGTATTAGTCATGTGGCACTCACCTTGCCAGATCCTGTTACTTGTCTATATTTCAAACTCTCCAAATCTCCACTCAATCCCCAATTCCCCATGTGGAATGGGAAATTGTTTAAATAATAAATAATATAAATTACTAAATTTAAATATACATTGTTTGTTTTTAAATAAAATAATTAACCATAGTTTTTCTCCATGGGAAACCTTATCTTCGAATTGGGATTTTCTGACCTTGAAATTGGAACGAGTGCATTTCTATCTTGCATCACCCACCTATCATCCTTGAAATATAATTCATATGATTCCAAAATAATCTGTTTAAAAAATTTTGTGGTATAACTTGAAGTTGAAGGTTCTAATTCTCATCTTTTAAATTCTTTGTTCAAAAAGATTCACAATAGATACAACTGGAGAAGATTCACAATAGATACAATTGGGTTGTTTCTTCTAAAATAAGTCTTATTTGATTTTTAATTTATGAGTCTCCAACACATTCTTCTAACAAAATAATGACTTAATTAAAATATTTAATTGTATACTTTTTAAATACTCCTCAATCCATGATGGAAGTATAAAATCATTTTTTTATTTTTTCAAATTGTACATAGTTTGAAATCATATTTTATACTTTCATTAAAATTTTCATTAAAAATTTAAGTAACACTCGACTACCATCCACCATCACTAGAAATCAACTCACTTCTACTTTAGCAAGAGAGGTCTCTATTATACTTTGATTCATGCTACTTACATCCACAGAAGAATAGGAATAAGGTAGGGGAAAACACCCACACACCCTTCACGGAGAGGAAGAGAGGAGGGAAGCAGACAACTCTTCTTGTTATTGACTCTAACTCTTTTGAAAATACTTAAAAGATATTAAAGATAGAACTATATGGAATCAAATTATAGATCGAACTTTTAACAAATTACTTACTAAATTCAATCTAAATAAGTTAATTTAGCTTTTGCTCTTTTTTTTTTAAGTATAATAGCTTTCGTATTACTAGGATGAGATGGGAAATTTTAGATAACGTTTTATAATGTTTACACCATATTTATTCTAATCTACAAAGTCGTCTATCACCGAACCTCCGTCACCATCAATTACGGATTAACACGTGTACATCCATTATTTGTTGTCACGTGGGAAAGGAATGTTAAATATTAATTAATGAATCATTAATGTCATTTCTATTTTCAGTACAATTTTGTGAATATTACAACAATGCCTTGAGATCAGCTTGATGTAACAAAGCAATAACTAAGAGGGTAAAAGGGAAATTTCACCCTCCAAATGTTGTCCATTTCAATATTAATTTCGTTATTGTATCTCTTATGTCCCCAACAATAACAAATGAATGTTTTTATTATTTGTTTGACACTTCAAACAAAGCAGTAACCAAATACTATAATCTATATCTCCCAGGGGTGAAACTGAATACTTGAAATTCAAGGGATCCTGCATTTTCTTTGTTTTCTTCTTGCGAAATAACTGAGCTGAATGAATTTTTTACCATAAAATTAAATCTTCTTAACCTCCTTTATTTATAAATTATTATTGATCAGTTACTCCTTTTAATTTGATATACACAATAATCTTAATTTCATTAAGAATTTCTGTTCTTTTTTTTTATATAAAATTTAGCAATCCAATTTTAAAAATTGGATTCAAAGAGGTATACAAAAGGATGGTGTATTTCTGCACGCACAAAAAAATATTTCGACTTAAAACTTAAATTAAAAGTAAATAAGAATATTTTCTGGATTAATTTATAAATCTAAAAGGATACGTCATTGAACTAAATTAATATCATCTATTTGTCCTCCCTTATATATCATGGATCACCCATTTCCCTAACCAATATGAGACTTTGTTTGCACTCTTTACAAACCCAACAAATCTACCTTTTTTTTTCTTTTTTCAATTTCAACGACATGAATAGTGATGTTTTAATTTTATGTAAATAAATAAAGCAAGTTAGATAATCATCATTTGGATATATATGTCGCTTGATGACTCGCTTCTATTCAATATATAAATGATTTTAGTGCCTTATTATAGGGATAGTAGAACAACTCATTATTAAGAGTGTGACAAAAAGTTGTCAATATTTGTCATTTCACCCTATGATTTATATCGAAATGAATGACTATTTGATGATAGTTTCAGTGGTCTGCCTCACATCAATTAGAAATGGAGAAGATTCCTATTTGATGATAGTTTCAAGGATCCAAATATAACTTTACATAATTAGTTAGAATTAGAAGAAATCTCAAATATATAATTTTTTTTAGTATAATAATTTGGGGATTTGTGAGGTTCAACCTCCGATCTCCAGAAACTGAATACATACCAATTACCATTGAACTATGCTCATATTGGCATTTCAAATATATAATGAAGGTAGCCTTAATCAAAACCAAATTCTCCCTCGGTAAAGAAGACTAAAATAAAGTGTGACTAGTAGTTTCACTTCATTGTTCTACAAGAGAGAAGTTACAAACATATTTCGAACACCCAAACAATAATTTGGGGCAGCTACATTATTGCCGGTCTCGTTCCATAAATTTTTCAAAATTTATGCCTAATCATTTCAAACACAATAAATTTATTTTAACTAGACGTACATGACACCAAAACTCTAGCCGTATCCTAAACATTTTTTTTAACCTTAAAAAATGTCATCCTCGTGACATTTTCAAAGCCTAGCTCCATAAGTTGAGTCTTCGTAAATCTTTCGATGTAGTCATCTTTAGGGTGTGTTTGAGAATGATCATAGAAGAAGTGATTTTGAGAAAATATATTTAAGTATAATTAATTTTCTAAAATCGCCATCTAGGTGATACCTTAAAAATCAATAAAAAGTGATTTTAAGTTTTTTTAAAATCAATTTTTTAATTTGCCAATCATCGTCTTAGTGCATTTAAGATATTTCTTGCTTTTTATTTCCATGAGAAAAAAGTTAAAAAAAAAAAAAAGCCTAGGAACAACAATAATTTATATTCCTTCAAATGAGGTCCTCATCACTCTCCTCCTTGTTATGAATGTGAGGTCGTCACAACTAACTAAATTTGTGTATGTTCTTACCTTTAATATTTATTAATAATTAAATATGAGGTGTATTTAATTTAATATTTTGAGTTCTGAGAGATGTTATCAAATTAGGAAGAAAATGTATTTGAAAGAGAGGTTACATTATAATTACTTAATTTTGTATAAAATTTCTAAATCTAAAAGTTAATCTAAATAAATATAATACTTACAATATATTTTCTATCCTCCCTACTTTATTTATACAGTGGTTTGAGCTATACAATGTTTCAATTAAGTTGTTGTATTCGGGAGGAAACAGGGAGGAGTAGCTCATGTCTATTATAAACCATTGTTAGGTCCCTTCTTTTATCAATGTGGGATCCTTAACATTTCTCAACATTTATTCTAATTACCTAGGTTATTTATAATTCTCCCAACAGTATCAAACATATTTTACTTTTACCAATATACATATCCCTCAACTAGAGGTGCTTTGAGTATTTCTAACTTACAACTATCATATGTCGCTCATTGATCTAAATGGATCAAGGTAAATAAGAACGATTTAGAGAAAATGAGTTCAAATCTCATCATGTCTGTCTATCTAAAAAATTAGTTTTCTATGTGTTTTATTGATAACCAAATGTACCACGCAAAGCCCTTATTGAAATAATTGGTGCAAATAGTAACCTCAATTAATTAAATTATTTTTTTCTCTTTTTGAAAATTAGTTTGGGGAAAATGTGAGGAAAGAGATGTAGTAAATTATTGGAGATTGGCATTTTAAAAATAAAGAACATGTGGAGAAGTTCTCGAGCTTGCCATGTGGATTTCCCAACAAATGTGGCGTGCCTCATTTTCTTATAAAGTTTGGTACCTCCCAAACTCCAATTCACCATCTTCCACGTGTCAGTTTACTCTAAATGGTCTATTGTATAATAATAATAATGTAAAATCATTTCTTCGCTCCCACTTATATCTTTAAATATTAAAGACAATGTAGGGTTTGAATAGAATTTAGAATACAAATTTTAAAGTTCTATCTACTACTTTTGGTTTTGTATTATTTTTATCCTTAATTTTAAAACGTAAGAATCAAAATAATTACTTTTTGAAAGTACACAACTAAAATAGAAGTTCTGAAATTATAGAGATTAAAATGAACAAAAGTTGTAAGTACAGGAATCGAAATAAACGTTTTAAAAATACGAGACAAAAATTAATAAAAATCAAAAGTATAGGAACCAAAATTTTAAAATTGACAAAAGAACGATATGGTACCATATTCCAATGCAGAGTCATTTGCTAATTGCTATAATTTATATTTTTCATCTTTTAGTACTTATTTTCAAATTTTTAATATCATTTCACATATACAAAAATAAGAATTGAAGTCTACTGGCTCAATGAAAAAGTATAGATGCTTTAACTACTAAATTATGCTCAGATGGGTAGGAACTATTTTTTATACTTATAAGTGTGAGTTTCATTTCAATTTTTTTTTTCATATGATTTTAAATGTTTGAATTCGTATTCTAACAGTCCAGGTGAAACTTCACAAATCATCCATAAATCTTTTTTATCCATCAATTTTCTCCCTATTTTTTAACAACACTCTATAGCTCCCAAATATAAATATTAGCTTATTGTCATGTAATAAAAAAAAAAAACACCTAACAAATTATATATGGTAATAATTAATTAAAACAAAGACTAAGTGGTGAAATTTGACCAAAATCAATTTTGAAACGATTCCGAATGGAAATTTAACTCAAAAGATAATAACTAAATTGATACCTCTCAAATGATAAAAATCCAATTAAAATCGAGCTCAAACAATTTGAATCGACCATTCTCGGTTGATGTAGTTTGTTCATGCTTTGCTTTGTGACTCTCTGGTTAACTAGTCCAATCCCTTGTTCTACTATGATAATCTTGCTTTGTGACTTTCAATTAAGTTTCTTGAATCTTTGGCAATATTAAAAGGCCTAAATTGTTATCGTGATTCAAAAAATTAAAATCACCTAGAAGGAGTAGAACAACTCTTTCCCATATTGGCTTGAAAATTTAAGTTCAATCGAGTTGTACTTTAATTCTTTTAATGTCTATTTCCTAAGACAAAGAAAAAAAGTGCTCCAAAGGAATTAATAAGATCATAGACATCCCAACAGAAAGGCATCTCTTTAATAGGGTAAGCATGGGGTACCCTACGCCCTTCCATTAAGGTACATGTCCCCGTGCCCCTCCCCCAACCCCCAAAATTATAATTTATATATATATATATAATATAAATTAGTAAATTAAATAAAATTGCAACCACGATGACCTGGTCTTTCATTGTACCAAAATCTTACTTTATTTCTAATTTAAATTCTCTCAATTTTATAATTCTTTCCTTTTGGATTATATTCATTTTAATTTTAAATAAAATTTCCTAATCTTTCCGCATTATGGAATTAGGATATGAATATATCCTCTTTTTTAATTAATAAAAATAGAATTGCGTAGCCCTAACACCTATAATTGCAAAAATAGTAAAATAACATTTTTGTTTACATTGAACAAATCCGAAACAAGAAACAATTTATGCTGTTTTTAAAATTTCTGTACAATTTTAAAATGTTTTTTAGAATATGAAAAATAACAAATCTAAATGGTTGTTTAGATTTCGTAATAAAATTGGAAACGAAAATGTTACTAAACAGGTCACGCAACACCTTAATTCTTAATCTTTTTGGTAAAATCATTTTGATTTTAAACATATTGTAAATTTATAAAATTTTTAAAACTATATCATATCTCAGTCTTTAAATTTTGAGTTATATATTTAATACTATATTTGAAAGTTCAAATATACAATTTTGCTATTCATGGAAAAATGTCTTAATACTTTCCATTAAAATCTTAGAAAATAATGACATGACCTTTTTTTTAAAAAAGAATATTAGAGGGGTGGGTACAGGAAAAAATCATTTTCCTGTTGTTATAATATATATATATATATATATATTTTATTTTTAATGCTTAAAAATGTATAGTTATTTAATCTTCTTACCTATTTAACTAGTTTTCTTTTAATTATTAAACATGCTTTAATTTTATTTAACACTTTCTCATCCACTAATTTTCATAAATGACATAAAATAAATATATATTTTCAAATATAATAAGAACTTTAAAATTTTATAAAAATAGTATAACTTAAATTCTAACTAAATGTAACGAAAAACATATTGAAAAAAATATAAAATTTATGCTATATTTAAAAAAAAATGAAAAGTATTGATATTTTTTAAAAATAAATATTAAAATTGTATTATAAAAAATATTAAAATTAAAATTATACGAATTTCAAATATACATGATACCATTCAAGTTACCATCTTGGTCTTATAAACTACTAATTATACATATGGATGTTTTAATTAACAATAAAATATATCATGCATTTTATTTTTAAATTAATTAATTTCTTACTCAAATTTTAGCATTTTTAACCTATCAAGCCAAACCGAATATAGCTCAAGTGGTTAAGATACCTCTCTGATCAAAACTATATTTTATTCTAAAATTTTTAATTGTATTGTTCTTTACAATGTTGGATCTTTTAAAAAGAAAAGTCAATGAATTTTTTGAGATCATACATCAACTAACTATAAAACTATTAAGTTTGGTGTACACATATAATTTTTTTTATTGTAATAAACAAAGAAAATTAAGTCTTAATTTTTGTTTGATCAAAAGAACAAGATCCATCTTGTAATAATCTAGTTTGGAGAATTCTTTTTGGAATTATATTTATATAATATTAAAAATAACAAAAATCTCAAAAGAACAAACAAGAAGCGATGATATCATAGATTGTCAAATGTTCTTCCATGGAAAGAAAAAGAAGAAGAAAGAAGAAAGAAGAAAAAAAGGGTTAAACATAACACACTTTGTTAAGAAAGTGGATTAGAAAATTTAATGATAATGGGAAAAGGGAAGGATTTTTAATTGAGAAAAACAGCAGCAGAAGAAACAGAAAGCAAAAGGAGATTTAGACAACAAGTAATTGTAATTCTCTTCCCTTTGGAAATTGGAACCAAAAACCAAAATCCTTTTCTTCGAAAACCCAAAATAGCTCTTCTGAGAATACGAAGCTCTTCCATTTCGCCGTCCCTCGTCCTTGTTCTTCCCTTCAAACATCCTCCATCACAGCACGTGTTTCTTCTCGAATCAAGAACAAAAGGGTCTCTCTCTTTCTCTCTGTATTGCCCTTTTTCGCAGAGAAATCTGTTTGTTTAAGTCGTGGGACTTCCCAATTTTTGATCGATGTGATGTAGATTAGTGGAAATTGGGGGGGGTACCAAATGCACCCATATAATCGGCTGCCGAGCAGTGGCCACTCTACCCCGTCACCGCCGCCGTCGCCTCTCCGCTCCCCTCGGCTGCGGCACTCTCGGTCCAAGGGCGGCCGGTTCACTCCAGTTCAGCAACCGGGGCGGACCTTTCCCCAGCGCCTCGCTTGGCTCATCCTCTCCGTTCTACTCCGTCGCCAAGGGATCTTCCTTTTCGCCCCTCTTATCTACATCTCCGGTATGCTTCTTTATATGGGCACTGTCTCCTTCGATGTCGTTCCAGTCATCAAGCACCGCCCTGCTCCTGGCTCTGTTTATCGAAGTCCCCAACTCCTTGCCAAGCTTCGTCCCGAGATGGATGCTGACAACTCTTCCGCTGATGCGGTTCGTATTTCTCTCTCTGTATTTGGTTTCTTGGGTGTGGGGTTGATTTGCGTTTGCCCAATTTTAACGAATTCATCGGAATCGCTACGTGGGTGTTGTCGCTTCTCTCCATTTCTGAGTAGTGGGTAGAAGAATTTGCGAGATTTCAGATTTAAATTTGATTTGTTTCTTGGGATTGGTTGATTTGGCTTTCTTGAGCTTCTTCTCCGATGGCTGTGCTATCTTTTCTTGATCTACTGTTCTTAGTTTGGAATCATATATAGTTGGTCTTTTATTGGAGATTGCATGCTTAACGAATGCGGTATTTTGCACTTGCCCTGGCAATGACTGATGCACAAGAATTGAATTCTTTTGTTTTGTTTAGGGTATTTTCTTGAAATTATGGGAAAGAAATGTGTTCTCTGTTTTGGTTTTGTCATCTTTCTATCCGGGGCTAAAAACTCCCAAGTGTGATTTCCAATGAGGGACTTTCTTGAAATTAGAAAGTTGATAACTCTATTTCTTACATACTTCTGATCCTGGAATTTTAATTTAGCCAGGGCAAATTTTGATTTCAAACAACCATCTGCTGTAAGCTTATCACTTGACTAGAAAGTATGAAATGACTGCATCACGTTATCGACAGCTTGGGTGGAGTTGTAAAGGATATGTTATTTGAGTGTGAAAAAAGAAACTAGGCTTCTGTTAGATGATATATCCTGAAAATATTCAGGCGAGGCTGTTTTCTCCAACATAGATGAACAGAAGTCTGAATCCTATCTTCTATTGATGAAAGTTGGATAAAAAAATTGGTTATTGGTCTGAAATCTATTGAACTTTAGGATATTTTGTGGAAAATGATCAAAATTTCGAGTTACTTTGGAAGTGTGCAAACTTGGCTTTTTTTTCTTATGGGTCTCACCACTTATGGTTGGCGTGCAATTAAAGAAATTCTTTAATTCCTTTCTTATATCTGCACTTTTTAAATCTTCTGAAGAGAGTTTTCTTTGGAAATTGATGTTTTTTATTTTTTTTATTTTTTATATCTTTATTCCTTGACCTTTTGGTGGTTTTTTTTTTGTGAAAAAACGTGTGTTTCTTTTTTCTCTTAAGATGTTATGATCTAAATGTTATATGTCAATGCCTTTTCTGCTACTCTCTAGTTGACATTAAATACACAAAATAATTGCAGATATCAACAATATGGAAACACTCCTATAAAGGTGGTCAGTGGAGACCATGCATCAGCAATTCTTCAGGAGGTAGGAAACTTTTGAATGATTTTAAAATAAATTTCAAGGAAATCCCATTTACCATTACATTTTAATTATAGAAATCACTTTATGCCAAAGGTCCTCAGTTTCTGAGCTTGAGGTTAGTCTCAAAGCCACTTTGGGAGGTGGCGGCATCTCCAATTGAGTTCCTGTTCCTTCTGTGTTGATATCACTATCAGAATCTTACAAAGTTACTCTGCTATTTGCAGTATTACTACATTTTCTGCTCACTACCTTCGTCTACCTTTGTCCTCTTACCAGCTGTTGAGATAATTTATTATGACAACTGTACTCTATTTTCAAACACTCATCGCATATAACTTTTTATGAGAGATTGTATATTATTCTGATGAGATGCTGTTGTTGAACTTTGTCTTAGTTTAAAATATTGTGGTGTTCTGTTGTTGAACTTTGTCTTGGCTAATTTCTTATTACCTCCTCTTGTTACACCCTTTCTTATTCAGAATTGTTGCATTTTTCTAACAAATTATTCACTTGCCCTATGATTTTAATTTTTGTACTAATTTTTATTCAAATTTCTGTTTCATTTATTCTTTACAATTTCATGTGTGGTTTTCTGTTATGTTTTATAGGCCTACCTGAGTCAAATGGATATATTTATGTTGAGGCAAATGGTGGTCTAAATCAGCAGAGAACATCAGTTGGTTCTTTGACCTCTTCTTTAATTTCTTTCTTTCTTTAAATCAATCCTATGCTGACCCCGTGAAAGTATTGTTCTCTAAGAAATAGCTCTCTCTGTAAACAATGCTTATACTCATTTTGTGTTGTTACTGTTATCTACGTATTGTAGATTTGCAATGCAGTTGCTGTGGCTGGCTATCTTAATGCAACACTTGTAATCCCCAATTTTCATTTTCACAGCATTTGGAGAGATCCCAGGTCTGTCCACATTTTATTTTGTACTACAAATCTTAACACTGTTGTCCTTGCTTGATGTTAAGGTGCTAAGAAAAGGCTAATGCCTTAAACTTTTGTTAAGTTGTCGAGCATATGTCAATAACATAGAAATTTATTTTATGAATATGAGAACTTTGTTGCTATAGAATTTTTTAAATATATGCTTCAACTTTGGTGAAATAAATAAAGAGAAGTAGTTAGGAGTGTATTTAATATTTATGATATTGGTGTATCTTTTCCGTTGGGCATTTCTTTTCTTCATACTTGCTCAATTTATGCAATATTTTTGTATTGTTTATGTCCTTCTGAATCACATTAAGGTTTCTTTAGCTATGTTTAATATCTTGAGGAAAAGCAAGCAGAAAAGAAAAGAAATAAAAGCTCAATAAGCATTCATTTAAGTTACAATTGAAGTTATTTTGCATGTCACAATAGGAATAACGCAAGTCTTATATAGTATTATTTATTAGTTTCATACATTATAACTATTGCTGGGATTGATGATACTTACAACCATTAAGTTATAAGGAGATCTTTGTCATTGCTAGCCTTTTAATCATTGGATCAAGAAAGCTATTTGTTTATTAGCTCCTATGTAGTTACTACCATAGAAAACAAGTCAACAGTTTCCTTTCTTCTGAGGTGGGATAAACATTTGTTAAATTGGAAGCTGATGACATTGTTTATTAGATGCTATTTGTAGCTAATGACTTGTGTGTGTAATAAATTTCTGATTCTATTAGGTGCTATCAGGTGCATGTTGCTTCATTTAAAAATTATGCCGGGGGCAGTGCTGTGGCTGACTAGTGACTACTATGGCTTGCCTTTGATAGACATGTTGCGTATTGATTTGCACAATGCATTATTATTTCAAGGCTGATTTATTTAACTTTGGATTTTCTTGTTCAGCAAATTCAGCGAAATATATGATGAGGAATATTTTATCAAGACCTTAGAGAACGATGTACGCATTGTAAACAAGATTCCGGAATACATAATGGAACGCTTTGACCACAACATGACTAATGTCTACAACTTCAGAATAAAGGCATGGTCGTCCATTCAATATTATAGGGATACGGTGCTCCCAAGATTACTTGAAGAACTGTGAGTGGTCTATGGTCTAACTATTAGCTTGTGGTTTCTTGACAATCACAGACATGCATGGTTGAATTTTTGTGGAAGGGATTTTTCCCCCATCATATTTTCTATGTGATCTTCATATGCTAGTTGAGATGTTCTTAAAATTGCAATTAACTTGAAATAAACTTGTAGCTGTTCTTAAGAACAATGAAGAATATGGGTGGTGAATGTCCCCAAGAGGCAGCCCAGTTGGCAAGGGTTTGGGCTTGGGTCTCTTAGTCATACTGGCTTAAAGGTCTCAAGTTCGAATTTTCTGATGAGTTCAATATCCAAAACCCTTGATTTATCTCGGGTCCGAGCCTCGGGGCAGGCGCAGGTGCCCTTAGTATGGGGGAGCAAAGGTCCGATTCCCGGTTCTAAAAAAAAAGAAAAATAATAATAATAATAAAAAACATACTGGTGGTTAATTGTAGGAACAAGTGAACAATAATGTATGCCTTATGAGTAGACTAAGAATTTTCTTTCGAATACAACTTTTTAAAACAATTTAAAGAAACAATTTAAAGAACTCTTTCCATAGAATAGGTGGAGTACGCCATTGTGTAATGTCTGGTGGGTCCCAATCTGCTGGTATTCATGCTGTGAATAATTTAATCTTAATTGTTGAAATAATTTGGAGTTCATTGTTACAGGGTTATAAGAATTTCACCTTTTGCAAATCGATTGTCATTTGATGCTCCTCCTATTGTTCAACGACTTCGATGCTTAGCAAATTATAAAGCGCTGAGGTTCTCTACCCCCATATTAACGTTGGGGGAGATTTTGGTCGCTAGGATGAGAGAACGCAGTGCCAGCAATGGCGGCAAGTATATTTCTGTTCATCTTCGCTTTGAGGAGGTATTTTTTTTTATTATTATTTTTTTTATTGAGTGTACTTTCATCCCATAAATGATCTTACGACAAGGTTGCCAGTTTAGTTGCCTTCTTCCACTTTCAAACATGGTTAACATCATGTGCCAGGATATGGTTGCATTCTCGTGTTGTATTTTTGATGGTGGTCATAAAGAGTTGGAAGACATGAAAGCAGCCAGAGAAAAAGGATGGAAAGGGAAATTCACAAAACCTGGCAGGGTTATACGTCCTGGTGCCATAAGGACCAACGGGAAATGTCCAATGACTCCTTTAGAGGTGCTTGCAGTTTCTGCTTTTGCATTTTTTCCTGCTATTCGTCATGATGCTTCACTAGCATTTTCAATTCTCTATAGCTTGCAGTGTCTTGTTTATGCATCTAATTCTTACATTCAACAGGTGGGTTTGATGCTTAGGGGAATGGGCTTTGACAGAAGCACATTTATTTACTTGGCATCTGGAAAGATATACGATGCTGAGAGAAATATGGCCCCGCTTTTGGAGATGTTTCCAAATCTACTTACAAAGGATATGCTGGCATCGCCTGAAGAACTTTCTCCATTCAAGGTTTTGTGATTTTGTATTCACAGTTATTTGTTTTACATTTTTATATTTGATTGGGGACTTGCTTTATTCGTCTTTTATTGACATGAGTTCTTGTTTTCAGAATTTTTCTTCCAGGATGGCTGCTATAGACTATACTGTTTGTCTCCACAGTGAGGTGTTTGTGACAACACAGGGTGGCAACTTCCCTCATTTTTTGATGGGCCATAGAAGATACTTGTACAACGGACACTCGAAAACAATCAGGCCGGACAAGCGGAAGTTAGCATTACTTTTTGACAACCCTAACATTGGGTATGTGTTACTAATCCCAATCTCATTAGTCTAAGTCTGATTAGCATAGCTTTTAATATGTGTTGAACTAAGATTAAGTTACAAATATCGAGAGGCCTGGAAACCTTCCAGAACCTGTCATTTCAAAACTCTCCAAGTAAGGCAAAAATTGTAAGAACTCATGAAGATGACAAGATGAAGAATTTCACTTTTTTTTTTGGGAGAAACTTTTCGTTTATTGAGAAATCTCCCCCATCCAATGGAAATTATATAAAACACTTCCACTGAGCAAGGAGAGAAGATAGGCTATAGCAGCAAAAGTAAGTAGAAAATTTACACCAAACGAGAGCGAGAGACAAAGAGATAAAGAATCAAAGAATTTCAACTTTTTGAGGTCTCAAGGAAAGACCTACATGAATATGACCCAGCGTCTCATGCAATCAAACTCTTGTTTCCTGTCTTGATGGAGAAATGTGTGAGGTATCTCCTCACTTTTGGAATTGATAATAGGAATAAGAAAAGCCCAGAGGCAATACAGGTACCCCACCAATTCGGGAGGGTGGGTGATCTCTCCCTAACAACTTCCTTGCACTCACAACCAAGCTAATTATCTTCTAGCCCCCCTCCTTCCCCTTTTCTACCACCCACTGTTCTATTGCTGGTCCCACTCTACAAAACGGTTTTTCCCCCAATTACACATTTGCCCCGATAACAATTCCCTTTCTACCCCTTCTAGAGTAAGTCTTCATAATTGGGGCCCTAACAAAATGGTCAAGTCACCAATGATCAAAAGGGAGCAACCCCTTCTGAAATTTCCCCATCTTTGTAATTATAGACCAACAAACGGTCTTCCAACTCTATTCACAAGATATCCATCAAGAGGCTTCACTTCAGCTATCTCCACCCCTGACTATTTAAGATGTTGCTTTGGTACACTAGAATGCAAAACCGCAGCCGCAGCTACCGTTCTGGTACTCTTGGTTGCAATGGGACTCCCAGTCTCCCACAGTGGAGGTCTTGAAATTACTTCCTCATAGGATGAGAAAATGATGTTATCATAGTTGAATTGCCTAGTTTCAAATCCAAAGATCTCCATTTGCAATTTAATAAATTCTCACGGCGTTCCTAAATTGCTTTACGCCTAAATTGTTTTTATTAAGTTGAGGACGCATATGAGTAAGTAAGGCAAGGCCTTAACAAATATGATTTTTAGTTTTGTTCATCTTTCTGGTTAATAATAGCACACTTGGGTTGAGACTTGATCATGAATGAAACCTCTCATCTAAAAGTATGAATCTATCTTCCTTTTTTCTAGAAAATGAATGATTTCCATCTATCTATGCTGTTTTCATTCATGTACACATGGCTAATCTTGTCTTTTCCTGTTTTCTTTTTTTCCAGATGGAAGAGTTTCAAAAGACAAATGTTGAACATGCGGAGTCATAGCGATTCCAAGGGATTTGAGCTCAAAAGACCGAACGACTCGATATACACCTTCCCTTGTCCAGATTGCATGTGTCATACCAACAAATCAAACGATACAAGATCGTGACAAGCCCCTTGATTTTCGAAGCGGGAGACTTGATGATGTCTAATACCCTTGGAAATGTAATGTTGTCAAACACAGAAAGCTGCTAACCCTCCTTTTTCTTTTGTAATTCTTTCATTTTTTCCCCTTTCGACACACGGCCGAGAGGGCACACATTGATTCGGGATCTTCAAGAATTTGTAGTAGGGGGTCACATTGATCTGGTTCTTTCTGAAAATAGGTTCTGTGGGGGGAGTTGCATCTTTTTTGGTATTCGATGCCACAAAGATTGATTCGGGACGACCACAGTTCTATGTCGGTTGAGAGGTTTTAGGGTTTTGGCTGAAGCATTGTTTTTGTTCTACATTTGAATTGCAGCTGCTGTATCTAACAAGCTGCAGAAGACACTTTTCTCTTCTGTTCACAACAATAGTTTTGGTTTTCTTTGTTTTCCAAAATTGTGGTAGGTTTTTAGGTAGAAGAGTGCAAATGAATACTGTAGAAGTGTGTGTATTTTTGTTAGATATCAATCATATTCTTTTTTTCTTTTATTGCCATTTAGTATCATTGTTCCCTTTCCCTTCCATGTTTTTTTATGTCTCTATTGTTATAATTACAGAACATTCAAGTGTAAAGGACTTTTTCAATTGCTTATATACCTCTTGTCCAAAAGATTTTTAGTTTACTTTTACTATTGAGATTCTTGAAGCTCCCCATAATCTCTCAAAGTGCCATATTGGAGAAACGGATGCATGTAACTGTCAAGAGCTCGTATGCAAGTGTAAACGGATGCCTACTTAGATGTGTATTTGGATTTCTGCTCGAAGCCTACTTAGATGTGTATCTGGATTTCTGCTCGAACACCCGAAAGACGAGGAGAAAAGATTAGTGATAAGGCGAGTAGAGCTCAACTCCGCTCCGACCTAGGGAACATATTGACCAATAGTAAAAATCTGTCAACATTCGTTAAGACGATTCTACTATTAGAGGATCTTCTAATAGCCTGCGAAAAATCTGTTAAATGATAGGTATAACATTTGCAGTAGTAGCGTGTTGATTCTCAAGATTTTTTTCTTATAAAAGATAGGCAGTTTCTTGCCATCCAATTTAAGCTGAACTTGACACTAGTTCTGATGTAGTACTAACTTAAGCATTAATAGAATAGTTAGTTGAGCACCACATCGGTCCAAGTTTGTGACACTGATGTGTCACCCTACTCAAAAAAGGGCATCAACACCTACTAACAATTAGATGTAGATCAATGGTTTGCATTAATATGGATGTTATTGGAGAACAAGTTATATTATATTGGACAAAATACACTTTTGGTCTATGAGATTTTAATTTGGTGTCTATGTAGCATTTAAGGTTTCAAAAGAGACATTTTACTCCTTAGGTTTGGAAAATGGTTCTAAATAATCTTAACATAATTGGAAGGTTTCTTGACTAAATTAAATATGATGTATCGTTGTTAATGTTTCTTTCTTTTTTTTTTTAATCGATGTTGCTGATGTCTCAGTCACCCTTCAATGACTTCCTTAATTGGGAAAATTTCTAGTCCTCCCCAAGATTGAAATTTTACATACTACCTCCATTAAGGTGTGCCACGTGTGAAGTGGTTTTATTATTATATAAATAAAAGTGTATATACTTTTTTGTAGAGCCCACATATTTTGATAATATTACTCCATCTTATCTCACTTTCTCTCTCTGTTTAATGGCCATTCTTTCTCCTATTAATTATGTGATTATTTATTTATTTTTCTACACTGTTATTTACATCTTCACTTCTCTCCTTCTCATTCTCATTTTTATTTCCTGTTTCTTCCTTCAAATTTAATTTCTTCATTTTTTTCATTGTTATTTAATTCTTTTTTAAATCCTAACTTTCTTTTTTGGTACAACATAGGTACGGGTTTAAGTTCAAACCCACAATTTTTTAGTCAGGATATATACCTGTTGAGCTAGGCTAGATTTATATTTGACATCTTCACTTTCTTTTCTTAATTTCACTTTCTTCTCTCTCTTCAAACCAATAAAATTTGTATTTAAACAATTATATATAATATTATCTATTTTATTTCTAAAATAAGAAAGAATATTTGTTTATTTTATTTTGATATTTTTTATTTTGTTTGCAAGTATATTTTCAAATAGCTAAATAATTATTTTGTAATTTAATCAATATTATAATTAGATTTTATTTGTTACCTTTTTATATGTTCTTTTGTATTTGTAACTTTATTTTCAAATAAAAACAAAAATATTAAAAGTAAATACAAACCTATTTTATTTTTTATCCATTTTGATATCCAATTTTATTTATTTTATTATTTTTTAATATACATACAAATATGATAAACAATTTACATATATTAAAAAATACGTCATGGATTCTATGTTATGGGTTGACCATTGATTTGGTTGCTAGTCTTTCGATGGTTCCCAACCCCTTTTCTCAAAAATCTCATTTCCTTCCATGAGAAATTATGGGAAATTTTTTAGTAGTATCAGTTGAGTTCAACAATATTTTTACTCAAAATGACAAAATTTATAAAAATGATGAATCTAAAAAATATAAAGAATTAAACATAATATACTTAGAGATTTACTTTTTCACGGGGAGATTAGTACATCCCAATATTTTATGCATTCAAGAAAAAATGAAAAAGTATAAAATGATTAGAATGAGATAATAATAATAATACTAATAATAATAATAATAATAAAAGAACCAAAAAAAATGAAAAATAGATAGAAAAGTCATACATAACTCTCAAATGATGAGGCCCAAATCGTTAAAGTTGAATGATTTATTATTATTTTTATATCCGTGAATGTCCCGACCAGCTTACGTACACCTCATGTTGCCACCTATGATAAAAGCATAACTAATCTTATAAATGAATAGTAATTTTTTCTTTGATAATAGTAAAGTGATTTTTAAAAAATTCAATCTAAAGCTCACAATTCACTAAATATTTCACATCTAATCAAGCTAAAAGTACTTCTTTCGTTTTCTTTCTTCATTAATCATAAACAATATTGCTTCTCCAATCGAAACTATTTGACATATCTATTCTTGTTTTAAGTTACAATTCTGAGGGAACAATAATTTATGCGGGAAACTAATCTAATAGATTAAAGCGATCATTCATCGAACCTGGATCACGAATGCATATGAATCAGGAGAGACAATCTTTCGAGCGTATAATGCTGCTCTTTGAGAAAGCAAGACCGAGATGTCGACAAATTAATGTGTGTGCTATGAACAATTACTCAAGAAGCTTATTGCAGGTTCCAACACCAACAGCAGCAGCAAGGTGCCAAGCTGCATGAAGAAATGGAGTTTTGGGCAAAGCATCATCAGCAATGAAAAGCACACCACCCAAAAGTGTTGACATCTTATGGACATTGTGAGCCATCCTTAAATCTGGATCTTTCAAAGCTCTTTTTGCAAATATTACCTGAGTTATAAAAATGAAATTATAAATTATATCAACAAACCACTAGTATTGTATTTGTCAAAATCTAAACCGTATATAGTTGGTGAATAAAATTTTAAGGAACATGCCAACTTGAACAGAGTTTCTAGATATATCATGCGTAGTTATGATTGCAACGTCTAAAACCATGCAATTAGATAAATGAATAGTAATTTTTCTTTTGATATCTATGAATGTTTAGACCTCCTTGAGCACATTCCAACTAATCTTATAGGACAACCATTTAACCCTACTATATTTAGTTGTCAAGAAAACGGGTAGAATTTTAAATTCTACACTAGTGGCCACAATTGTTTGAACTCATTCCTCCTTCTAAAGCTATTACCCCACGTGAGCAAACAGACAGTAATTCTTAGTAATATTTGATAAATGCAACTTCATCCATAAGTCTTTTTATATAATGCTGCCAATTGACATCAGAAATATACAGAACCAGCTCCTATTGACCCATGTGAGCAAAAAGACAGTAATTACTAGTAATATTTTTTAAATGCAACTTCATCTATAAGTCTTTTTATATAATGCTGCCAATTGACTGCAGAAATATACAGAACCAACTCCTATTGACCAATGAATCATGCAAAGGAATGAGTAATAGATAAAAACCAGCACCAAAAAAGTTACCTCCATCACCCCAGTGTGAACAGCAGAAACCATAAAAGGCCTAACAGGCAGTAGAAATGCAGATGCAGCCATCAACAACTTCGGGTTGTCGTTTCTGAGAGCTCCTGTCAGACACTGCAAGATGGTTTCTAGAATTGAAAGTTTGGCTTTTGGAAACTACTACTGAAACATCAAGTGAGACATAAGAAAATCCAAGAATCTTGCATCGCAAATCAGTAAATATAACTACAGAAAACAGAAATATTATTAACAAACGTCTTTGGTACTTTTAAATTAAGCAAAGACACAATAAATCATTGAAAACTCAAAACTTCACAAGTTGAAGCATAATTGTCTTTTTATTTGGTAGCATTGATATTCAGAGATACCGTACGATGACCATCAGCATAACAAACATTATCCTGGACACTAGAGTAAAAATTTTCATAGCCCACATTATCAAGTTTTATGCCTTATTTTAATAAACAAATTCATTTTTAACTTACTACTGTGGCTGTAGCTATCATTGTATAGTCAGCCCATCTTAGGTATTGTCTCAATTTTCCTCTGGAAGAATGATATAAACTTGAGGCAACTCCTACTCCAATTAATGAATTAGCATATAACTTCATTGAAAAATTCTTCCTGTGTTCAAAGTATAAGACAAATAATCAGACAAACACCTGGACAGATGCATCTATTGTTGCAAGAAAACTTTCGGCAGTCGTTACCTTGGTGCTTGGATTCCAAGAGCAATAAAAGGTAGTGAGGTAAGAACGTTCGCCACCCTCTCTGCAAGAGTCTGATCACCTACCAATAAATTAAAAAGCAATAAATATCTAGGAATAATTTACAGCTAATGCCAAAGAACGGACCCCCAAGATGTATCCTATTCTGGTAGTATGGAGTTGGGATGTTCGAGATCGAAAACTTGATAACTAAAAACACTCTGTCTGTTGGAGCTGGCTTTGGGGTTGGTGAAGCTTACAAGAGGATGAGAGTGGCCATGAGTATGAGTATATAATCTAAGAAGTGAGCCCCCAATCCCCCAATATTAAAAAAATGCCATATAACAAATCTCATTCCAGGAAAACATACAGTGAAGGAGAAGCATTTTCAAGACTATACCTTGTATACAACCCCCAACAGGTCTCAAGCAGGCTGGTCTTTGCTCCCATACCCATCTGAAGATCATGGAAAAAAGCTGTTAATACCATGGTATGGTGACATTTTGTTCTTCACTCTATTATGTGTAGTTGTTAAAGCTGGTGGCAATCAGACTCGAGTAGCAGATCCAGTTTATATGTTCACTTACTGCATTATCAATGGCTGATTCGCACCTATAACAGAACTTCCACAACTCGACAGAGAAAAATCTCCATCGCGTGTAGTTTTTTCCAATGCAAAATGTGAATCAGGCACAACCTTAACCCCGTGCAGACCTTCAAGGGCTCTACTAGAGGTTGATTTATTCTGGGGACTCATCAGAGTTTCAGTAATAAGCTGAATCATTTTCAGTGCCAGCAAGAATCTGCTGGCATTAGACAAAACAAGTGTGTCCAGTGCAAACTTCTATATTGAACTGCACAAGTGGAAATCACAGTTACTTACAGTTGCTATAAACATTAACAAATTAACTCACTTCAAAATCAAATCTTCGTTTGAGGACATAAACATTCCAAAAATTAAATACAAAAGGAAACCCATTGAGTTGCACGCGCTTTGCGCTTTGGGTAAGAAGAAAAGAAAATTGGCAGCCAACCAACTTTTTCCACTGCCTATGTGACCTTACTTCTTTCAGGAAACCATTGCTTAATCAAGTACAGCTCAATTCAATAAGCTTGCTGATGAGGGGCAGATAGATTTATTTTTAAAGAGAGAGAAATGAAGTTTCTTCTAATTAAATTGCGAAGTATTTATCTTTATGAACAGTGGGATCCAATTTTTGGTATATCACGTAAGTTGGTGGTAATAATAGCTGTGTATATCTTTGTGCTTGTGTACCACAAAAGTTAATACTCAGGAGAAGAGTTAATACTCAGGAGAAGTTTTAGGTGATATGTATAAGAATCAGTGAACATCCGACAATTCGAAAATTTAAATAATAAAAAGTTCCTATATTTTAAAAAGATTCTCGTACATCTCTAAACTTTCAATTTTGTATCTAATAGTTCATGCTTACATCACCGAATATCTTAGTTTGCTAGAAATCAGATCATCATATCATTCTTAAATTATTCAACCAGCATGTCAGGTAAATATTAAACTAATGGGATTAAGAGTGCAATTTAAACTTATTAGATACAAAATCAAAATTCCAGAAACACTCACCGGAACCAAATAGACACAACCTTACAAGTCCAAGTAGCTATTAGAAACCTTTAATTGACCAAACATGAAAGTTCAAGTATCAAACTTGTAATTTAATCAAAGTTAAACCATACTCATGCTTACTGTTCAGACTTTTTGGTTATTGCCATCTTAATTTGGAAGCAGGATGGACAGAATCAATCACGAAGAATATTATCAAACACCTTACCGGCATTACAAAAATACCCATTCGCACACCACGCAGTTGGACAAAACGGCGTCTCCAAAATTCGACATTTCAAGAGCAACGCACGAAAACAACAATAACCGAGAAAGGATTCGACGTTGAAAAGGGTAACAGATCGAAGAAATAAAAAAAATAAAAAAAGGGGTAAAATTAGGAACTTCACTCAAATTAGGAACTTGACTCGTGAGTACAACCCTGAACATGATTCCGGTGGTAATAAGAGATAACCTGAAAGAAGATACTGGCGAAGACATTGAGACGCGGCGGCGGAGAGGAGGAGGAGGGATCAGCGGCGAGATTCAGGTGAGCTGGCAGCGGTTTCAGGCGAGATTGAGGAGGATCAGGGGAGGTTGGGAGCAGGAAGATGGAGGAGAAAAAGAATATGAGAGAGGAGATGCGAATTAGTGAAACGAATCTTCTTCTTCCAAAGCACGCATATTCGCATTCCGAATCTTAATAGTTGGTGAAATCTCCCCGCCAAAATGTGGCTGTTATCTAAAATAATTAGATACAGGATCTTAATAGTGTCCCTCACGGAATATTTTTAGGTTTCTCTCCTACTTCCAAAAGTATAAAATTAGGAACTTGACCACCATTGAAGTTCATTATTTAAAAAAATAAAAATAAAAGTCTATTTTTGCATTTATCTGCCGTTGTTAAACCATCGATAGTGACCGTTGGTCAAATCATATATATGTAAGGAACCAAGTATTTTCTATATAAAATTATTAATCACTTTACAGCAATCTCCTCCAATAATTTTTTGTTGCCGGAGGTTCCACCTCTTGATGAGAGATACGAGACACTTTTTCTTGATGTAGTTACACAAAAGATCATTATTAGATTAATATTTACAGATTTGTCTAAATAGGGCTTGGCTTGTGATGGAGCCCATATGAAAATTACCAAACTACCTATATTAACATATTTTTAATAAAAAAAATAAACAATTTACAAAGAAAGAAAACAACCAATTTTATTCATTCCCAAATTGTTGAAACTCTAGTCTCTTTCTCTCTCCGAGTGAAAACTCACATACCTCTCTCTCTTTCTCTCACTTCCTCCACCGTCCCCTCTCTATTGCTGCAAATCGAGCTCGAGGTTACAGATCAAGTTGTCAAAGATCTGGATGTCAGCTACAAGGTGAGCCACATTAGAGAAGTTCGCTACTAGCTGCAGCGGTTGTTGTCACGCGTCGCTGTACGTGGGTCGTCGTCGACTAGATGTTGTAGCACAAGGCAAGCCACTAAATAGAAGATCATCTGCCAACCTAGGGTTTACTGTCATCGGGTTGCATCGTCGTAGGGGCTCCTACCGTCAGGTCATGTTGTTGAGATCAATACGCACTACTGTAGGAGAGTTGTGCTGTAACAGGTTGTTGCAAATGGGTGTTTTCGTTCGAGTTGTTGGCTTCTTGAGCTGCTAGCTATTGATCATAGACATACGGTGTCCCGCAGGTTCGTGGGATGCTATTCATGGAGCATCGTTAGAGATTGCAGATTTGGTTCAGGCGTCGTAGGTTGCTGTAGATCGCCGTCCATAGTCAACTTGGGTTGCAATGTCGTTACTGTAGGGTCGTCGAAGGAGGAAATAGCTGCAGATCTTAATCATCGGGGAGATGCACTATCGAATCTCTTTGTCACATCGTGATGGATCGTCATTGGGGTTCCTTGGTCGTCGATTTTTGTGGTTAAATAAGTCATCGGGATGTTACAGTATTTAAGAG